TTTTTTTTTTTTTTTTTTTTTTGCTATTAGACTGAAACCAAAATTCTTTTCCTTGGTCTATCTGATTTGGTCCCTTCTATCCTTATTCACTGAATTCCCCTTTCCATATAATTTCTTAGATTCGGTCACAAATCTTTCAGTTACTTATCAGCCAAGTTATTTGCACCTCAGAAGATTTCTACATGCTTTTTCTTCTTACTAAAAGCATTCTCTAATTCATACACTTAACCAAACTCTCACCCACTTTTTCAATTTCAACTGAAGAAAATCCCTGATCACAAAATCTAAATTGGACTTTATTATTATCTTACACTGTATTGTTTTTATTTCACTATCACTATCACCTCGTTCTTCATTGATTTACTCCAGGTGGGAGCCAGTAACATCTCCATTCATCCCTGTCATGTGCTAGTGTGGCCCGATGGCATAGTGAGGGCTATTTCAAGATCAGGGGAATGAGGACCATCATTGTTACTGTTTTGGCATATCGAGTAGGCCACAGGTAGCTTGCCAGAATCTGCTGTGTGGGTGGGACACTCTCAGTAGCTTGCCAGGCTCTCCGAGAGGGATGGAGGCTTTTGGGGAAGCCTCTAATCACCTTTACAGATGTTCCTCATCAGGCATATATGCGGGCAGGATACTCTAGGAGCCTACCAGGTTCTCTGAGAGTGAAAACTAGAAAATAAGAGGTCTTCCGGGAGCTTGGTTTTATAGTCTCTGGATCTTAGTTGTTGATGGGGTTACACGGCAGTAGGTGGGTAATAACTGACTAGCTACTGGAAGATGGGGAATCTGTGTGGAGGAGGACCAGTCCCGATCCAAGCAGGCTTGGAGATCTCAGCCCCAGATTCCGCACACCTGGGTTCCTCTGCCAGTTCCTTCATGCATGAGGCTCATCCAAATGTGTGGAGAGTGGTCTCAGTATGGCTGTAGCTGGGTCCCGAAGGTCTTCAGCTGCCATTTTTATTTATTTCATAAAATTTAACCCAGTTCATAAATAAATATTTATTAGGTTGTTTTGTTTTTAGGCCACACTCATCAGTGCTCTGGGCTTACTCCTGGCACTGAGCTCAGGGACCAACAATTCCTGATGAGGCTCAGGGAATCACATTGGGTTCCAGGAACTAAATACAGTTCTGCTGTGTGCCAAGCAAATGCTCTATCCTCTGTACTAGATCTCCAGTCCCCTATTTATTAGCTTCATGCATGCCCAAGATGGTAAATCTCATGAGAACAAATAATATCCTTTATGTTTTTATTTATCTGTACAAAATTTAATAATTAATAAACATTGATGTTTAAATTCAACAGTGAAATAATCTTGCAATCTAAAAGCAGCAGTTGAAAATATGAGGAGGAGAATGTTACATAAATTGAAAGCAAATAGGGTATGTATAAGGAAAGAATTTACAGAAGTAAATTTGGTTGGAGCAATATTACATTAAGCTTAAAATAAAAAACAGAAGCAAAGCAAACTGCATGAAGCAAAGACTAATGAAAAGTTGTTTGGCATTTATGACTTATGCTATTATTTAACATACTTGTTATATACTATCTCAGTCCTTAAGTGAGCAATGAAAAAGAGTTGGTTATTTGAAATTTGTCAATGAGATGTTTCTTTTATTTACAAGATAAATGGGCAGCATTGTATTTTTTGTTTGGTTCTGTTTTGGTTTGGGGAGGGGGACCCAGAAATACTTCAGGCTTATTCCTAACTCTGCACTCAGGAATTACTCCTGGCAGTGCTCAGGGGACCATATGTGATGCCAGTAATGAACCTGAGTCAGCCACATGCAAGCTAAGTGCCTTATCCACTGTACTATCTTTCCAGATCCAGGCGGATGAGTAGTTTTAAAGTAACACTCTAAAGAAGTCTTCTAGAGAAATAGCAAAAAAAAAAAGCTGGCAAGCAAGTCTCCCAACTAAATAACAGTCAGAAATTAAATATACAGAAAAAGCAGTACCCACACAATAAATTCTGGTTTTCTGGGGAGGATAGAGGGTGTTTGTTTTGGTTCAGCTTTCTGCTTGGTTGGGACTACACAGAACTATGCTCAGGGGTGACTCTTCGCAGCACTTAAGAGACCATATGTTTTACCAGGGATAAAATTTAGATCTTTTATTTTATGATAATAAGGATATAATTGAACGGATCATGTAAAAAGAAGTGAGAATTAAAATTATTTAAGGTAATATTGCCTTTTTAGGAATGGATGAGCACTGCCTGAGCACTATCAGGCAGTGCTCATCCATTTTGTAGCTCAAAATCTAAAATAAAGTTTAAGCAAACATCCTAAAAATGGAATATTACTTTTAATAATTTTAATTATAACATTATTCAAAGCTTCTTGGGTACTCTGGTGGTGATAACTGTATATACCAAAATCATAGTCAATACCACTGTCAATTGATTTCCTTAAATATTAAACATTAAAGTATTCAAAATTCAAAGTAAAATGTACAGAGATATTTTAGAAAACACCAATAAATTCATGAACTATTTTAACTTATAAAAATAATTATCTTATGGGGTACAGTGCCACCAGCAGGTCAATCTGTACCTGTGAGGCGAGTACATCAGCAACCTGATGGTGCCTTCAGACTTTCAGATACCCCAAAATTGCTGCTGTGCTTCTGGCCAGACCTCAACAACTTGGGGCCAATTTACTAAGAAAGTAAACGGCCAAAAATTAGGTATGTGGGAGACGCACCCACAAACCACCTCCGACTCAGCTATATAATTGGAGGCAATTATATAGCTATCTGGTTCCTGATCAAACTGCTTAAAGGCCATGATCCCAGAGACTCAGAGACAAATCTCGGAACCCAGCAGCTTTTGGCAGAGATGCGTCCAGTCCCTGCAATGGGTTACCAGCACTGGACCACCCCAGGAGGGAAAGGGTGCTGTCCCTCTGCCTGCTCCCCTTTGGAGGTTCAGTGGCCACCATCTTCCAGAGACCATTGGGCAGTCAGGTTTGGGCCCACAATGATGAGACACACAGGGCCTCATGGGATGGGGGTGGAGCCGGCACTTTCCTCCCTGCCCCAACAAGACCTCAAGTCACCACCCACGAATGGCCTCTCTGGCTCCTGATCAGCTGCTTAACAGACATGATCCCAGAGAGTCAGAAACAAATCTCAGAATCCAGCAGCTTTTGGCAGAGATGCATCCTGTCCCCGCAATGGGTTACCAGCGCCAGACCACCCCAGGGGAAAAGGGTGCTGTCCCTTCACCTGCTCCCCCTTGGTGGCTCAGTGGCCGCCATCCCCCAGAGGCCATTGGACAGTCAGATTTGGGCCCACAGTGACAAGACTCAAGGGGCCTCACGGGATGGTGGTGGAAACAGCCCTTTCCACCCCGCCCCAATGAGACCCCAAATCACCTCCCACAAGCGGCCTCTCTGGCTCCTGATCAAGCTACTTAATAGCCATGAACCCAGAGACTCAGAAACAAATCTTGGAATCCAGCAGCTTTTGGCAAAAATGCATCCAGTCCTCGCAGTAGGCTACCAGTGCTGGAACACCCCAGGTGGGAACAGGTTTTGTGCCTTGGCCTCTTCCCCCTGGCGACTCCATGGCTGCCATCCTCCAGAGGCCTTTGGACAGTTAGGTTTGGGCTCACAGTGATGAGACACATGGGACCTCACGAGATGGGGGTGGTGCCAGTCCTTTCCTCCGCGCCCCAACGAGACCCCGAGTCGCCTCCCACAAATGGCCTCTCTGGCTCCTGATCAAGCTGCTAAACGGCCATGACCCCAGAGACTCAGGAACAAATCTCGGAATCCAGCAGGTTTTGACAGAAATCCTCCAGGTTTAAATGTTAAAATTTCCATAATCAGCAATAGAAAACAAATGTTGCCTTTTTGGCAGATCTGAGTGTTGGAGTAAAATCCCAAATAATAATGGTGGGTCTGGTGTCGAAATATTTAATGTAATCAAAGTAGAGAGAAAGTAATGTGGAAATAATCTGCCCCACAGGTGGGGGGAGGGTGTGGGATGGGGGTATATAGGGGGTTTTGGTGGTGGAGAATGGGCACTGGTGGAGATGGGTCTTTCATCATTGTATGACCGAGACTTAAACCCAAAAGCTTTGTAACTGCTCTCACGGTGATTCAATAAATAAATGTATAAAAAAGAAAAAATTATTATCTTTGGGCTAGGGATATAGCTCAGTGAAAAAGTATGTGTCTTGCATGTGTGCGACCGTGGGTTCAATTTCTGACAAAAATACAAAGTATTTTTTTTTTCACTAAAATTGCAAAAAAGCTGGAGTGATAGCACAGCAGGTAGGGTGTTTGCCTTGCATGCAGCCAACATGGCCGAGCCGAGTTCGATTCCTCTACCCCTCTCAGAGAGCCCAGCAAGCTACCGAGAGTATCTCACCCACACAGCAAAGCCTGGCAAGCTACCCGTAATGTATTCAATATGCCAAACACAGTAACAACAAAGTCTCACAACAGAGACATTACTGGGCCCACTCGAGAAAATCGATGAACAATGGGAGGACAGTGACAGTGAAAAAATTGCAAGAAAGTTAATCTTTATAATTCTTTATGATCTTTAAATCTTTATACTTTATAATTTCTTTAATAATTATAATTTAATTTATAATTAACTCAAAAATTTATCTTTTCATCTCTATAGGGCTGGAGCGATAGCACAGCAGGTAGGGCACTTGCCTTGCATGCAGCCGACCCAGGGTGACCCCGGTTCAATTCCTCCTCCCCTCTCGGAGAGCCTGGCAAGCTACCAAGAGTATTGCACCTGCACGGCAAAGCCTGGCAAGCTAACCATGACGTATTCAATATGCCAAAAACAGTAACAAGTCTCACAATGGAGACATTACTGGTTCCCGCTTGAGCAAATTGATGAACAATGGGAGGACAGTGCTACAGTTCAGTGCTAATCTTTATAATCCTTTATAATAGTTTAATCATTATCATTTTAACCACAAAGACTATGGTTACCACAGTTACACTGGTTATTCTGTTTAATCTTACCCAGTTCATCTGATTTCTTCTGAAGCTCCACGGTAAGTATTTTCAATTGATCTTCACTTTTTTCCAATCTTGGAGTATAAATTAGAAAATAATTTAGTCAGAATCTAATAAATAAAACTGACGCAATTTAGTAACAATAAATCCGAGTAAAATTATTTGTTAAACAATTTCTGAGTAACTGCTCTGTGCTACATAATTTACTATTTCGAATACATAGCTGTATATTGATTATATCATCTACAAAACTGAGGACATTGAAACATATAATATTTAAGGTCACTTACAATTTTAAAGTTTAAAAATCACCTGAAAAGATGAATCAAGAATACATAAGATTAGCTAAGTCAAGAAAGCTAGCTTTCTTTACTATGTGTAATCAAATGAGAAAGCAAACTGCTAGATTCAGTCACAACTTCAGAGAAGCTTGTTTCTCTTTCACCTACCAGATTACACTAATCTGACTGCTAATGGGACAAGAATTAGCAAGGCTTTAGAACTCAAGACAAATCATCATTTAGATATATACAAATAGTAAAGGTAAAAAAGGCCCTCCCGTTGATCGTCGATTTGCTCGAGCAGGCCCAGTAACGTCTCCATTGGAGACTTTGTTGTTACTGTGTTTGGCATATCGAATACTCTCGGTAGCTTGCCGGGCTCTCCGAGAGGGGCGGAGGAATCGAACTCAGGTCGGCCATGTTGGCCGCTTGTAAGGCGAATACCCTACCGCTGTGCTATCGCTCCAGCCCTTACAACTATATATAAATACATAAAGTACATAAAAGTATATATAAAATACACAAATAGTGTATTTTATATATAAAATACACAAATAGTGTATTTTATATATACTTCATCAGCAATAGTAAATTAGTTCATTAGTAAAAATGTCTGAGCATATACTTTGTATCAGGTAAGTTTTTTACTTTTATAAACAGAAAGACTTCAGACCCTACCAAGTAAAACGTTCCCAGAACCTAGAAGTTATTTCTATGAAGCTAATAATAATTCATAATTAATGTCATATCACTGCATGGGTATTTCTGAGCTGAAAATTACCCTGAGATCATCTATCTTTTCCTAGGATAGCCAACTACTAAAGTAGAATACTTTTCGGTTTTTGTTTTGGGACCACACACCAGTACCCCAGATGCCCCGAGTGATCTCTGAGCAAAGAGCCAGGAGTAAGTCCTCACTCGGGGCAGGATAGGTGGCAGATGGGGTGCCGGGGACCAAACCTGAGTCAGACTCATGTAAGCAAGCAGCTTTCCTGCTGTACTCTCTACCGCTTCGGCCCCTTAAGTTGAAACTTTTAAAATGTATTTTCATTTTAAACCTTATAGAAAACAATTTTTCACAAGCCTGACTCATTTATTTCTTAAATTTTATTTTAAGCACCATCAGGTTTGTAAAAGTTAATGTTAAAGTTTCATGCATAAAACATTCCAAACCATACCCTTTCTAAAGTGTCTGCTTCCCTCAACCACTGTCCCAGAGTCTCCCTCCACATTCTCTCCCCTCCCCTAGAGTAAGCTTCCTACTGATGGGTTTGTGGGAGAACTGGAAGTCTCTTGAAAATGAATGGATGTAAAGGAAGCACTTCACTTGCACACAGTTGACCCAGATTCAATTTCAGGCACCACAAAGGAGCCCGTGAAAGAGCTAGGAGAAAGCCCTGAGCACAGCCACGTGTGATGAATCACTATCCCCCAAATATATAAATATACATTTTAAGGGAAAAAATTGACCAAAAATGGAATTGAGTATTAGGAGGATATTTTTATTAAGCTAAATAAGAAGTACTTTTACCTTTTCTGTTCTGTTGTCAATAATTCTTTCACATTGCAGATAGTTGTTTTAAGTTCAGCAACCACAAATGAATGAGTAACTTTAGCTTTATTAAATTCATCCATTTGAGTTTCTTTTTCTCCAGTGAGTTGAGATATTTTTGTTGTTGCTATCTGCAAATCTTCCTCTAAAGTCTTCTGAGCACTCTAAATGAAATAAAGTATAAAACAAAATATGTGATCCAAGGGTCTTTTGCTTTTTAAACAAAATTGCAACTGTCCCTCATGTCTTTCTTATTCTCTAACCTGCTCTTCCCCACCCAACTCTTGTTAGTCCACAAATTCACCTACTACTCTTATTTCAATTACTATTCCTTAATGGCCACCTAAACCCCATCCTCTCCAGGTCAACCAGCCCACTATTTTTGCATGACATTCTGTGATTAGTGTAACCTAATTATGCCCTTTATACTTCTTTTTAATTCAGCACTATTAACTAAAATAATATATTTCAGACTGAGATTTTATCTTCTCCACAAGAAGCTTCTTCGTAATTGCACATAGTATTAGCACTGTAGCACTGTCCTCCCATTGTTCATTAATTTGCTTGAGCGGGCACCAGTAACGTCTATTGTGAGACTTGTTGTTACTATTTTTAACATATCGAATACGTCATGGGTAGCTTGCCAGGCTTTGCCATACGCGATACTCTCAGTAGCTTGCCAGGCTCTCTGAGAGGGGCAGAGGAATCGAACCGGGGTTGCCTGGGTCAGCCGCATGCAAGGCAAACGCCCTATCCACTGTGCTATCACATAGTACTAATATTCAATAAATACCCATTGACTAATAGTGATACTTATCGCAAACTAATCAGTTTATAAATCATACCACACTTCTTTGCAAAGACATTTTAATATCTTCTAATTCTGATGTCAAATGATCCTGCTTCTCATTTGATTCTTTTAAGTTTTCATTCTGTAATTCTAAAATACAAAGTTGTAGATAAGTAGCACTTAAAACATATACAAAAACAAATTATGTTTAACAATTACATTCTTCCTTCATCATGTACTCAAAAATGAGAAGGAACTATGCAAATATATATGCAACACTTATCATCAGTATTTACTTACTTTCAACAATATTTTATCTTCTTTGGGAAAGGAAGGTATTTGAGACTACACTTGACTGTGTTCAGAACTTACTCCTTGCTCGGCGTGAGAGATTATCCCTGGAGGGGGTGGGAGTGCCAAGACTAAAAGGCTAAATCTGGGTTAGCCATTTTTTTATTGCTTTTTGGGTCACACCTGACGATGCACAGGGGTTATTCTTGGCTCTGCACTCAGGAGTTACTGCTGGTGGTGCTCAGGGGACCATATGGGATGCTGGGAATCAAACCTGGGTCGGCCGCACGCAAGGCAAACACCCTACCGGCTGTGCTATCTCTCCAGCCCCTGGGTTAGCTATTTTTTAAGGTAAGTGCTATACCCACTGTACTATCTCTCTGATTTCTTAACAGTACCCCCATCAAATTACTAAAAACGTTTTTGGACATTTATATGAAATCACAAAAGACCCCAAAAATAGCCAAAGCAATTCTGAAAGAAGAGAAAAAAAGCAGGCATAATTCTTCCTCACACTAAGATATTTCCAAAGTAATAGTACTTAAAAAAATTCTAGTTTGAAAGGTATTTTAAAGTGAAATTTTCAATTAAATAATATTCAAATAGTACTGGAACAAAAACGAGCATTAAGAACAACAGAATAGAATAAAGGGACCAAGAGTAAATTCAGACACAAATAAGCCTTTGACAAAGAAGACCTTATAATAGAGAAAAGAATGCTTCTTCAGAATGGAAAGTGGAATGTGATGGAGGGCCCAAATAATGCTAATCACTGAATACTAAAATCATAGGTCCACTCTCCTGGCCAAGTATCTGAGAACTTGCTGAGATTTTTTTTTAGAGGTCAAAAAAAACCTTTAAAAACAAAAAACAAAAAATTACAGCACTAGAAAGCATTAAATTGTAAAGAGGGTTAGAGACAGCTCAACAAAGGCTGAGCATTTGCCAGGGATCGAACCTGGAACTGCATGGCTCCCCATGCTACCCTGAATACTACCACAATTATCCCTGAGCACCATATTTGGCCCAAAAGTAAACAAAAATATTCTAATAAAATAAAAGCATTATTAGTATCAAAATACATGATGCATTATTAAATTTTCTTATAAACTTACTTGTCTTTTCCTCCAATTGATTAACTTTATCTCTGGATTCCTCTAACAGAAATGTTAAATCTTTCATTTTATTTTCTTTTTCATTGCTTTGTGTCAACAGCAGTAATACCTAAAATGAAGTATTTAATATATTACAAATATGAAAAATAAAATATGGCATATCACCAATTGTCATCATCTATGACTATTTTATGAACTTGTTCCATGATTTTTCTGCCGCATGAAATTTAATATATTCTTATACAATAAATATTCCAGTGAATGAACAAATTAATACAATATTCCACTCTTACAGCATATATATTTTTTCTTTTTGACCACATCTAGCAGTTCTCAGGGGTTATTCCTGGCTCTATGTTCAGGAGTGATCTCTAGCAGTGCTGGGGTGGAAGTGGGGGAGCATGTGATGCCAAGGAACAAGCCAGGGTTGGCCACATGCAAAGCCAAAACCTTATTTCCTTGTCTCCTTGTTGCTGATCCTATCTCTCTAGCCCTTAGAATGCATATTTTTAGTTGTGATAGCAAAGATTATATATTTAAATCCACTGGTCCACTTAATCCATAATATTATTGACCAACTTCTCCATTCCCAAAACCATAGCAAATATTAAGTATCCAGCAATTGAGGGAACTCACCTTCAAGAAATAAATGGAAATAAGCAAACATACCTAAGCATTTTTAGAAATAGGACATAAATACTATACCTAGGCACTACTAGAAATAGGACAGAAATACTACAGAAATCATCATAGGGATTTCTGGGCTGGAGAGATGGCTCAAAAGGTTGAACTCATGCTTTGCATACAGGAGGCCCAGGTTCAAGCCTCAGCACTGCAAGGTGCCCTAGACAATGTTAAGGGTACAGAAAGTAAGAGAGAGAGAAGAAAGAGAAAAAGAAAGTAACACCTAAATAGGTCTTGAGTATTATAGTAAAAAAAAAAATCCTTTTCAGAGGACAGAATGACTCTTGATAGATGCATATCAATCAGGCAAAGAAATGAGCATTCTATACACATATGTGACTACACAAAGGGTTAAGAGAATATATTCAAACAATTAAAAATAATTACATGGTTAGAAAATAAAGTACATATTAAGAAAATGTGAAAAATTAAAGATGAAGACTTCCGACTCAAGATCAAGGAATACCTCGATGCACTATTTTTTTTCTCTAAGTCACTCAAAAAATAATCAGAAAAACTATAAATACAGAACTTACTTATCCATGAAACCAGGAGACTTTATAATCAAAAGGGCAATATACAAAGAAAAGCAGCTGGAAGAAAAGATTTTGCATAGAAGAGCAAATTCAAGCCTTAGAGGAAGCACAAAGAAGATATTATTGCGAACTCAGACAACTCACCCTCAAAGAACCACTGAATGTTTCATGAATCAGAGGCATCACTCTGTAATATAGGTATGACAAAGGAGACTAGACACTTGCAAGAGGAATATTTTAAAGTCTCCTTTTAAAAAATAAGTATTAAGAACACAAATGTAGTAACACACTCAACCTGCAAGATCCAGTTAACCAACCTATTTTATTCTGATAGCCAAAGCAGAAAAAGAATTAACCTCACTCCATCTTTGCAAGACAGACAAAACATAGTCATAGTAGTTGGTCTAACACACATACACACATACACATACAGACCACATACACACTCTATTTTAAATATTGAATACAATATTTAAAAAACCCAGAATCAGTTGATGAAAAAGTTTGTACAGCATCTATGGAGACTAATTAGTTGAAAAACAATTTAGAGAATAGTAATTTAGATGCCAGATATATTTCACAGGGCAGTTACTCCAAATTCAACCTACACTCTGAGAAATATCTAGTACACACTCAGAAAGGGACATTCACAGTGATGTTCTTTGCAGTAATGAGGACCCATACAATAATGTTGGAAACAGCTAAAGAGACATATGCAAAAATACTGGAAATAGTAAATACCTGGATAAAAAAAAAATCAGAATCACCATTTCCAAATATTAATTTTGTAAAGAAGCATAAGAATACTTCAGTTATTTCAAAACAAACCTTTATTTGTCAATGAACATCTTCGCACTGTTTTTGTCTAAACAAAAGTTGTTAAAAATAATACACTTTTTGCAGAATGTCCTATTACATGAGCCTATAGGACTCACTGCCATTTTTAAAAGACACTGAGGTTGGGGGAGTAAAAAGGGAGGAGTTCATGGTTGAAAGCCTGCCTCACAAGCTGGGGGAAATGGCAGCTGGAATAGAAAAGGCATCATTAAGTCAATGATGGTTGGAGGGATCGCTCAGGATAGAAGATGTGTGCTGAAAGTAGATAAAGGACCAAACATGATGGTCTCTCAGTATCTGTATTGCAAACCATAATGCCCAAAAGGAAACTCTCTGCCATGGAGGCAGGGGGTGCGGTGGGGACGGAGGGAGAGAGTGAGCCCCTGAGAATTATAAGGTATGATCCAAACCCTGCCACCCTACTCAAAAAAGTAGTGAATACAGAAAATTAGTTTAACAAAACACCTGATTTTCCTTGTCATCTACTTCTTTCTTATATTCTTCTTCAAGGTGTTGGATTTTTTCATTATCTTCAGTTACTTTAAAAATAAAAATAAACCTTAATATCTTAAAAATATAACATGAAAGATTTTCTACTTTAATATTTTACAAAAATTTGTTTCTGGTATTTTATTTTAGCTCCTTATTTATCTATATATTAAAACAAAGATTTCTAGGAAGCTAAAACTGCTGTTTTTCATGATATTTTGTTTAATAAAACATTAAATTTAAACTATCAAAAATATAGTGTAAGAAAATTCTTTAACTTTTAAAATAGCAAAATGATAAAAATGTATTCTTTAAATAACATTTAAACATATTTATATATAATTATTTTAACATACATTACCAAGAAATGTAAAAAACAGTAAAAAATTATCACTCTAAAAAATAAAATAGAAACCATTACAAATTTAGTTTCAGCAAAATATGTCTTTGAATGCCACATATATAAAAATTTTAACTAGAGAAGCATCATGCAGAAAGGACAAACCCCTTAAGGATCTAATAAAATTAAAAGCAGAATAATAATTTAAAAATTATTTTTTTACACTTACACTTAAAATGCATTTCCAGTCTAGAATTCTCAGCTTGCACACGAAGTTCCTCAAAAGCTGTTATCATTTTCTGAAATATAATTTTTAAGAATTATATTTAGCTGAAAACTGGTAGAGGAACAAACATAACTTCTCTGTGTGTATACTGCAAACTATAATGGCCCAAGGGTTGAGGGGGCGGTAGGGCAGGAGAGAGGTAAAGTGAGGGGGGAGAGAGAGAGAGAGAAGGAAAATGCCTGCCATAAAGACAAGCTAGGGGGAAGGTGGGAGGAGGGAAACTGGTAGAAATGTACACTGGTGCTGGTGGAGGGTTGGGTGTTGGAACACTGTATGACTGAAACCCAACCATGATCAACTTTGTTACTCTTTATCTCATGGCTATTACATAAAAAAAGAATTATATTTAAGGGCTTTTTTATACTTTCTCCAATTATAAAAATATTAATGAATTTGGATCATGTGACTATAAGATTTAAAAATAAAAAACTTCGTATAATGAAAATCTGACAACGTTTCATAACTAAAAAATTTACTTAAAAAGGATGTATCTATTCTCAGACACATTAAACACAAGATTGTAAGGGCTTACAAAACCAAAAATATTCACATATAATAGTGAAGTGTACAGTGGGGAAGGCACTTGTCTTGCAAATGGGCAAACAGGTTCAGTCCCCAGCACCACACAAGGTCCCCTGAGGCCCACCAAAACTGATCCCTGAGCTCAGAGCCAGGAATAAGCACTGTGCACCATCGGGCATGTGCACATACACACACACTCCACCCAGGAAAATCATTAGGACAGCTTATTATAACAGCCCAAGATTATAAGGATACTGAAGAGACATTTATATAATACCAAACAGCAACAAAATGATGGTTGATATTCTAGTCATTTAGCTAATACCCTGTTTCAAAACCTGTAAATTTTTTACTTTTAAATTTCTGCCTTCTCCACTTAAGTATAAACCACCTAAGGCATCTACTCCTTAGAATCTAACTTACACTTCTATTATCTGGTAGTATGAGTTCCTTCAACACTCAACCAATTTTCACAATCAAAAATATTCATTTAAGTTCGAAATAATGGTGGTGGGAAGGGGTAATGGTGGTGGGATTGGTGTTGAAATACTGAATGTAATGAATTAATGTGAACAATTTTATGAAAATAAAATTTAAAAATATTCATTTATTCACTTAATGAAGAAGTTACTGAGTATGCATTATCTGCAGAAACAGTTTTAGGCACTTAGAATAAAGGACAAAGTCTTCACCATAATGGAACTAATTTAAATTCCAGTGTTAACACTAACACACACACAGTAAAAAAAATGTCATTTTATTTCGAGTTCTTCAAAAAAAGAGCTAAATAAGATAAAATAAAATGAATAGAAACATACTTAAGATAAAGTACTACAGAAGAATAATAAAGAGACAAAATACATAATATTTCCTTTAGCAAGAATACTTATTCATGCCATCATAGTTAAGAACACCTCTGTTTGGGGCTGGAGCGATAGCACAGTGGGTAGGGCATTTGCCCTGCACGCAGCCAACCTAGGTTCAATCCCCAGCATCCCATATGGTCCCCTGTGCACTACCAGGAGTAATTCCTGAGTGCAGAACCAGGAGTAATCCCTGTGCATTGCCAGGTATGACCCAAAAAGCCCCCCCCCCAAAAAAAGAGAGAGATAAGTTACCTCCTAGAGGAGGTAAGCTCCCCTTTGCATAATCAGGTATAGTCCCCAAACCTCAGAAACCAATTAATTAAAATACTGAATTTTCACCCCCACTTACCTCAATGTTGTTATTTAGCTCCATATAAACTTGCCTAGTTTCTTCCCGTTCATATTCATCTGTTAATTTTTAAAAAATTCAAATTTAAAACAATTGTTTTAATTGTTTTAAATTATTCAAAATGTCTCAGTAAAACATGAAAAAATTTAGAATCCAACATCAGTGAAAAGCATTAGTATGAAAATTTTGCATCGTAGCAAAAAGGCCAGAGAGATAGTAGTAGACTACTTGCCTTGCATAAGTGTGGCCAGGGATCAATATCCAGCACCCTGTATGGTCCCCCAAGACCCACCAGGAATGAGCCCTGAGCAAAGAGCCAGAAGTAAGGCCTGAGCACCATTAGGTATGGTTCCAAAGAGACAAAAAAATAAAAATAAAAATCCAAGATATATAAAAGACAGAGTTCAACAACAAAAATCTAATAACCTCATCAAAAAATAGGAAGTTAATGTTTTATTTTAAACCCTACTTAATGGGAGAAAATTATTTGCAGACAATACATCAGTTAAAGAGCTAATGGCAAAAACATATAAAGCATTCATTAAGTTCAACAAGACAGTCAATAATTCCATCAAAAAATGGAAAGAGATGAACAGTAACTTCTCCAAAGAAGTCACGATGGCTAGGAGGCTTAGAAAAAAAGTGTTCATCATCATCACTTATTGGGCTGAAACAACAGCACAGTGGATTGAGTGTTTGCCTTGCGCACGGCCGACCCGGGTTCAATTCCTCGATCCCTCTCAGAGAGCCCGGCCAAGCTCCCTGTGGTGTACTCTATATGCCAAAAACTGTAACAAGTCTCACGAGACATTACTGGTGCCCACTCGAGCAAATCGATAAACAACGGGAGGACAGTGCTACAGTGCTACATCACTTATTATCAGGAAAATAAAATTTAAATTACAATGAGAACTCATTCCAGTGAGAGTGGCATATGTCTAAATGACTGGAAACAAACAATGTTGATGGGAATACAACAAAAAAGGAATTCTCATTCACTGTTGGTGGGTGTGTCATCTCATTCACCTTCTGTGGAAACAATGTGGAAATTTCCTCAAAAAAACGGTAAGAAGAGATCTTTCTGTGTCACTGTCCTCTGACTAACTTCACTGAATCTGATACTTCCTTGTAGCAGGAAATTTCATTATTTCATCTTTTCTTACGACTGAGTGATATTCCATTGTGTAATTAACCATAGTTTCTTTATCCAGTCATCTCTTCTTGGACTTTTGGGTTGTTTCTATATTTGGGCTACTGAGGATAGTACTGCAAGGAATACGGGGGTGGAAATGTCTTTTCTCCATTTTGTTTTTGGACTTGAGTATATTCCAAGGATAGCTGATGGGCCAAATGGGGGGTTTGGAGGAACAATGGAGGGAGGTGGACACTGTTAAAAGGATCAGTGTTAAAACATTATAAACCCAATCATGAATCACTTCAGTCAGTACATGGTGACTTAAATTTTTTTTAAAGAGAGAAAATAAATTAAAGAAAAGAACTCCCATACTGTGATTTCACTTCTTGATTTCTGCCAGAACACAAAAATGTTCATATGAAAAGATGTTAGTACACATATGTTCACTGCATCATTGTGTACAATAACCAGGAACAAATGAAGAGAGAAATAAGTTGTGGTGTATATAATACAATAGAATAATATGTAGCAATAAGAAAAGATGAACTCAAAAGATGAAATCTTGGGCTGGAGTGATAGCTCAGCGGGTAGGGCATTTGCCTTGCATGCAGCCCAAGCCGGGTTCGATCCCCAGCATCCCATATGGTCGCCTGAGCACGGCCAGGAGTAGTTCCTGAGTGCATGAACCAGGAGTAACCCCTGAGCATCACCGGATGTGACCCAAAAAGAAAAAAAAAGATGAAATCTCACAGTTCATTGCAACTTAGAACTAAAGATACATGTTAATCAAAGAAGTCACAGGGAAAAGAATACTGAATGATCTCAATCATCTGTAGAATACACAGTTAACAAAACAAGGGAAAAGACTATTTAATTATGATAAACCTTCAAAGCTCACATTACCAAGCTTGGGTAAGTAGGGAGGGGAATGAAGTGGACTAGAAGGAACATAAAGATAGTGGCTGAGGGTCTTGGAAATTTTTACGGTGGTAAGATACAGTAAGTTTATACATCAAAACCCAAGATCAGCAGAAGATAAATTAAGACCAGTCAAGTTTAATCTTGGCAGTTCTTGCTTCTCTTTAGTAATACATATGATTAGAAAAGCTCAAAGTTTATGAAAATATGCAAAGTAAAAAGAACATGAATGATACTAAAACATCATTCTATAATCTCTATATATCCTTTATAAATTAACTCTAGAGAATAAAATTAAAAATTCAGAAAATTATTTCATATTCTCAACAGAATTATGAAAATGCAACCTCAATAAAAGAGGAAAATCTAGTCGTTATGACTAGACAGATATGTAAGAAATTGAGTGAATCAGGGGCCAGAGAAATAGTACAGTGGATAGGGCCAAGTATGCAGTTGACCCAGGGTCAATTCCCGGCATGTCATGTCTCCTGAGCACCACAAGAAGTAACTCCTGAGAGCTGAAACAAGAGTAAGACCTGAGCACAGCCAGATATGGCCCAAAAGACAAACCAAAAAATAACAAAGAGAAGAAAAGAGAACAGAAAGAAACTGAGTGAATACATAAACAAATAAATGAGGAGGAAAGAGGCTATTGCCTTCAAATTATTGTTTTTATTAATTATTAATTAATGATTAAATAAGAAGAGAGACTGGAAGGAAACTACATCAGGAAGAAATCACACTCCAAAACATATACACACCCAATAAGGGATCTGCAAAATACTTAAAACAACTGCTAACAGACTTCAAGGAGGACACTGGTAGCAACACAATAGTAGTTGGAGACTTCAACACCGCCTTATCACCTTTTGACAGATCAACTCAGCAAGGATGTACTGGCTCTGAAGGAAGAAATGGAAGAGAAGGGACTAGTAGATGTATAGACGGTTTTTCATTCCTCAAAAACTGAATACACATTCTCTTCCAGTGCACATGAAACCTTTTCCAAGATGGATCACATGCTGGGCCACATACCTCAATAGAATCAGGAAGATAGAAATTATATCAACTATCTTTTCAGACCACGATGCACTGAAGATAGAAGCTGATCACACACAGAAATGGAGAATAAAATCAGACGCCTGGAAATTAAACAGCTCAATGCTGAACAATCAGTGGGTCAGAGAGGAAATCAAGGAAGAAATCAAAAGATTCCTGGAAACAAATGTGAATGAATACACGAGCTACCAGACCTTGTGGTAGCAGCATTAAGCAGTGTTAACACAGTTAAAGTAGTATTAAGGCGAAAATTTATAGCTCTGCAAGTGTTTACCAGGAAGGAAGAAAGGAGCCACATAAGTGACTTCACAGCTTAAGATCTTAGAAAATATAGATGCAGAGAAAGCATTTGACAAGATCCAGCACCCCTTTATGATGAAAACCCTAGCCAAAATGGGTATAGAGGGGACCTTCCTCAACATAATTAAAGCCATCTACCACAAGCCTACAGCAAGCATCATCCTCAATGGGGAAAAACTGAGAGCCTTCCCTCTAAGATCAGGGACGAGACAGGGATGCCCACTCTCCACTGCTGTTCAATATAGTACTGGAAGTACTTGCAATAGCGATTAGGCAAGAAAAAGATATTAAGGGCATTCAGGTAGGAAAGGAAGAAATCAAGCTCTTACTATTCGCAGATGATATGATACTCTACTTAGAGAACCCAATAACCTCCACCAAAAAACTCCTAGAAACAATAGACTCGTATAGTAAAGTTGCAGGTTATAAAATCAATACCCAAAAGTCCATGGCTTTCCTATATGCAAACAGTGAGAAAGAAGAAAGCAACATGAAAAAAACAATCCCGTTCACAATTGTGCCCCAGAAAATCAAGTACCTAGGAATCAGTTTAACTAAGGAAGTAAAGGACCTGTACAAAGAAAACTACAAAACGCTACTTCAGGAAATAAAAGAGGACATGAGGAAATGGAAAGATATCCCCTGCTCATGGGTCGGGAGACTTAACATTGTCAAAATGGCAATACTACCGAAAGCATTGTATAAATTCAATGCAATCCCTATAAGGATACCCATGACATTCTTCAAAGAAATGGAGCAAACACTCCTGAAATTTATATGGAACAATAAGCCCCAACGAATAGCTAAAGCAATTCTTGGGGAAAAGAAAATGGGAGGAATCAACCTCCCTAACTTCAAACTGTACTACAAAGCAGTAATAATTAAAACAGCATGGTACTGGAACAAAGGCAGAACTGCAGACCAATGGAACAGGGTCGAATACACTTACATCTCCCCTCAATCATATGATCATCAAATCTTTGATAAAGGTGCAAGTAATGTGAAGTGGAGTAAGGAAAGCCTCTTTAATAAATTGTGTTGGCATCACTGGACGGCTACATGCAAAAAATTAGGCTCAGAACTCTGCCTAACACCATGTACAAAAGTAAGATCAAAATGGATTAAAGACCTCAACATCAGACCAGAAACCATAAGGTACATTGAAGATAAAGTTGGCAAAACCCTCCATGACATTGAAGCTAATGGTATCTTCAAAGATGCCACGCCACTGGCCGAGCAAGTAAAAACAGAGATAGATAAATGGGACTATCTTAAACTAAGAAGCTTCTGTACCTCCAAAGAAACAGTGACCAAAATACAAAGACAGTCTACAGAATGGGAAAGGATATTCGCCGAATACACATCTGACAAGGGGTTGATATCCAGGATATACAAAATACTGGTTAAACTCCACAAGAAGAAAACATCCAACCCCATCCAAAAATGGGGCAATGAAATGAACAGAAACTTTCTCAAAGAAGAAATCCGAATGGCAAAAAAGCACAAGAGAAAATGCTCTACATCATTAATCATCAGGGAGATGCAGATCAAAACCACAATGAGATACCATCTCACACCTCAGAGACTGGCCCACATTCAAAAGAACAAAAGCAACCAATGCTGGCGTGGATGTGGCGAGAAAGGGAC